AAAATTTAAAATCTGGGACATTAGACAGCGCTTTTACATAAAAGTGCTGCTAAAGGTCACAAATATTACGCTACAAAAGCGCTGCTATAGGTTTGGAAGGGGGGGGGGGGGGGGGTCTAAGACAACGCTTGTAAAAAGCGCTTGTAAAAAGCGCTGCTAAAGGGTGGGCTATGGCAACGCTTTGCAAAAGCGCTGCTAAAGGGGGGGTCTAAGACAGCGCTTTGTGAAAGCGCTGCTAACGGGGGGATGGTTGGGGGAATTATGCAGCGCTTACAAAAGCGCTGCTAAAGGGCTAAAAAAGCGCTGCTAAAGGTGCTGCTGAAGGGAGCTTTTAGCAACGCTTTTTCATTGAAAAAAAGCGCTGCCTTTACCTTTAGCAGCGCCACTTTTGGCAGCGCTTTTAAGCGCTGCTAAAGGCCAAAAAAAGCGCTGCTAAAGGTCTTTTTTGGCATAGTGATTCGCGAATAATGCGTGTTGTAGTCGAAGTTTGTTCTAACATGTAATAATCAATATTGTTAGGTTTGTTAGCATGTGTTGCACCCCAAAATTTGACCAACTACTCATCGCAATTTGGCTCATGTTTCGTCTCATTTCATTTCGCATTTGCATACCACGTACATTGCATTTTTTTCCAGTCACATTGGTTTATCGGGATCACAACCCTCTGATAGCATTTCAGACCAATACGAGGACGTATTTTGAGAATCGGTGCTCGTCCCGGTGTTTTCAGCTCTCGCTGTTGTTTTTGAGTACATCTCGGTGTCCGAATTTTTACCGTTTATTTCGATATAGTTCGCTAATCGATTTAATCGGCTTCCTCGGTAGTTTTAGATTTTTTCCTTATTTTCTAGAATTTTTTAGGGATTTAATTCATTTTTCTAGGTATTAGATAGATTTTTTAAATAGCTTTTAGATATTAATTGATTTTTTTAATGGTTTAGGGATTTCTTTAATCATTTTAGATAATAGGTTTTTAGAAAAATCATATTCTTTTAATAGGTATTTTTTTTAAGTAGAAATTAATATAGTTTGTTTGTATAGAACTATAGGAATTATTAGAGTTTTTTCCATATTTTTATTAGTTTAGAAATTTATAGGAAATGATTAGAGTTTTTTTATTAGTTAATAGTTTTTTAGATTTAATTAGAATTTGATAGGGATTAATTAGGTCTTAATCATTTAGTTAGATTTTAATTAGAGTTTATTAGGTCTAATTAGGAGTAGGTTTGTTTTAATTTTTGGTTAATGGTAGGTTTAAGTTTTAATCAGTATTAATTAGGCATTTAATTGGGTTCATTAGTCATTAAGTGGTCAGATTTTAATTAATCCATCATTAGTGCAAATCCATTTTCGTGGGCCCATTGTCTTGGAGGCCCAATCCCCCAGTCCAGTGCAGTGACATGTGTCACGCTAAAAGCCATCCACGTGTGTATCTCAGCATTGGCCACGTTTCATTCACTACTTCTTCCCACGTTTTTCACTTCAGGTCCCACACTCATGCCACGTTTCAACTCCCTCTCTCTTCCACCTCGCCTAACACGCGTCACCCTCTCACTTCCACACCACCACGCATCCTCACGCCATCTCCCTTCTGCATGCGCGTTGCCACGCGTACCCCCTCGCCGGAGACCCCACCGCCGGCCATGCAGTCGCCGGTAACCGTCGCCGGAGTTCCCAAATCTCACCAGAAACTGCGTTTTGCCCAGAAAACCTTCAATCTTCATCTTCCTCATCCACCATGTTCATGCCCTCGCCGGAGATCTCACCAGAAAACCCATCCGTCATCAGAAAACTCATCAGAAACTCATGTTCTTGCAACCGTTTCCGGTAATCACTATCAATCTCCAACCGTTTTCCAGAAGATCTTCAAGATCTTCATCCAATCTTCATCGATGTTCAAGCGTTTTTCCAGATCTGGATGTGTTCATCCAAAGTCCTCAAGAATCATCACGTTCATCCCATCGCGTTCTTTCAGATTTCCAGAAGAACATTCATCACCACCTTCATTATCGTTCCCAGAAACGAAGAACCTTCATCGCCCCCAATCATCATCCGTTCGTCATTCATTCTCCAGAAACGCTAATGTTCTTCAGATTCCTTCGTCAAGCATCAAGATCTTCGTCAAGATTGTTGAAGTTCATCGTTTCAGAAATCATCATCATCATTATCATCATGTGAAATCTCCAGAAATCGTAAAAGCGATCATCATCGTTCAAGATCTTCCTCTTCCTCGTAGAGATCTTCAGCGGATCTTCATTTGTTCTTCATGTTTTCCAGAAGATTCCAAGATCACTCAGCTCATCTTCCAGAATCTTCCTCCAAAGGGATATTCAGACACATTGGGCTGTTGATTTAGCTGTTCACGGTTTTGATTGAGGGAACGTGTGGAGTGTTTGGTTCAGCTCTTGGTTAGGGTTTGGCTGAGAGGTGTGGAGAGATTGAAGATGAACGAGAGAGAGAGAGAGTTGGAGGGGAGAGGATGGACGGTGCATGAACAGTGCGCTGAGAAAAGAGTAGGAGAGAGAGCGGGCAATGGATTGGGCTCTGGGCCCATTAGCCTTTCAGATCCGTACACACCCCCCGTTTTGGCCAAGAAACCCTCCCTTTTTTTTGTTGTTTGGTCTGATTGGGCTGAAGCCCAATGAACTTCCTGATCACACCTCCGTCTTCCTTCTACACCCCCCCCCCCCCCCCCCCCCCCGTAAACGGGCTGGGCCTTTTCTGGTTACACCCTCCGTTTGCTTCATTCACCCCCTGTTTTGTTTTTTTCCAGAAATTCCTTATTAGGCTTGGCCCTAACAATCCTGCTGCAGTTTTTGCACCCCCTTGCGTTTTTCTCTTTTTTTCTTTATTTTCTTTTATTTTCTTTTATTTTCTTTGTTTAGAATATAAGGAAAGTATATGTAATAGAAAATAGAGATAGAAAAATAATGAGAAATATTATATTAGCTAATAGTATTTTTAATATTTTCTTTTAGGATATTTTTCTTTTTCAGGATATATTTTTTTTCATAGAGTTTATTTTCTTTTTAGAAGTAGTTTTAAATGTCCATTTGTTAGGGGACTTTTTACACTTTTAGACGTATATTTAAATGTCCATTTGTTAGGGGACTTTTTTACGCATTTTAGAAGTAGATTTAAAAGTCCACTTGTTAGGGGACTATTTTTCATTAGATTTTCCATGTTAGATGGATAAGATTTTTAGGAGTTTATTTTCCAGTACTCAATCATTGTAATTTCTTCAGAATAATAATAAAATGAGATTTGTGTTGTGGTCTCCGTTCTACCCGAGTTAGGCCGAACTACAGTTGCTCTAATTTTCTCTGATGAGAATATGTAGGCATAGGATGCGATATCCTAGCGAGCACACTAACAACTAACTTTTGTTCTCTCGCTGCTGTGCGATCGAGACTTTCCCACTGACGACTGATGTTATCCTTTTCTCTTGCCCAAGTGCATTTGAGACCAGACCGTAGTTCTAGTCCCCGTAGGTTCCCATACCTTGAAACCCGACATACTACGTCCGTTCTACCGCAAACGGGTACGCCTAAGTCTCCAATGGTCGAGCAGCGTCCACCTAACTGCTAGAATGCGTACGCTAGTATCGTCAATCATTTCTCTCACCCCCGTGTGACTGAGAACACCCTGTCTAGCCGTAGTTAGCCTGAACTACGTCATGCTCTGATTTCTCTGACGAGAATACGTAGGCCCAAGACGCGACGTCTTGCCGAGCAGCTAACCCGTAGTTTCCCGAACTACGTTGACTCTGATTTTCTCTGATGAGAATACGTAGGCATAGAGTGCGACGCTCTATCGAGTCAATTTCTTTCTGTTTAGATTTAGCAGCCGTAGATAGATTGTTTTTCACCCAAAGTAAACACAACAAGCGTGGATCCCGTCGAGTACGACGGACGTGAGGGGTGCTAATACCTTCCCCTTGCGTAACCGACTCCCGAACCCAGACAATGGTTGCGACGACCTTGTCTTACCCTTTTTCGTTAGGTTTTTCCGATCGTTTCCTTTCCCGCTCTGAGGGATAAATAACGAAAGGTGGCGACTCTTCTGTTTTACCGGCACCTTATTTTCGCGCAAGCGACATCATGTTGAATTGGGTCTTTCTTGTAAGCCCAATTGGTTAAGTTAACTTGTACCCTAAGTTAGCTTGTAATGGGTAATTGTTAAAAATCCCTTTAGTTTAGTGTGTTAGTTTTCTTATAAATAGCATGCCAGTGTCTCATCTTGTATAAGGAAAAATAGGAAGATAAAAATCTAATTAAAGAGAGACATGTTATTTTGTTATTCTTGTATACTTGTAATCTTGTTTGATAGAGAAAGGAAAGAATAACAATTTATAACTAATCCTTGTTGTTTCTTCTTGTTCTTCTTCCTTGTTTTCTTTGTTAAGCCTAACTCTTATGTGTTTCTTGATCATAAAGAAAACATTTATATTTTGTTTCAAGACATCCTATTCACAACAAATCATTTTTTCTAATTAAGTGTTTCCATAGGGAAGAACATAGCATACTCTCAAAGTCTTATAATCCTCCTCCCAATGCACTTTATTCTTTTGTTTCTCTATCTGTTCTTAATATTGTGGTTCGAATCAAGCCATCTTATTTGTTATGAGGCCATATTTATTTGCATCATTGTTCTTATTATATATATTTTGGTAGGGTGGGTGGAGTAGCTCAATTGCTAATTGTTAATTGGGTTAGAGGGTTGCAAGTTGTATGCTTAAGAATTGTTTTCTAGGAACCGTAAATGACATTATATTTTTGACGATGTCATCTATAAGGACATAACACTTGTTTACTAGTCGACACATTACCCTTATGATCTATGGTCCTTAGATCGTTTGATTTTTTTGTTGATGAAATTATATCTATAAATATTGGAATGAATTGTGCTCCTTATTATCTTTTCTCTCTTTGCAAATTATGTAATCTCAACAGAATTGCATTTATTCTTATCAATCTGCTAACATTTTGCTCACACAATTACTAAAGCATACTACTGCATGATTTATCTGTTCTTCTTCTCCCATCACTACATAGTTGCCGTCTCTCTAATGATTGCGGAAGCTTCTTCTCGTAATCTTCTCGGAAAGCCTTGTTATTGTTCCATTCTGACATAAACTTTTCAACCTAACACATCAAAGAAACCAACAAAAACAAAACCTCTAAACTTGTTCAAATGAAGAAAAAAAAGTTTTCTTAAGGGAAATGGATAAGATATTGGAAACTAAACCAAATATCAACCTTTAAACTTGACATCTCATCAAGAGCTGCTACATCTTTTTCTGCAGCCAACCGATAAACTTTATTCATAAATGAACAATGCCTATAATAGGGGATATTCTGCCATTAACAAATGTATCATATAAGATATGACAAGTTGTATGTATTTGGAGGACCGGTACTTAAAAATCATGTGCAATTTTAACCATGGTTAATCTCAAACAGGATCATAAGCTTCTACTTCTATTTTACCATCTTACCTCCTCATGATACAATCTGTTCAATTCCCAAAGCATATTATGTGCTTCTGTCTTTTTCTTATGCTTCTCTGCCAATTTTTCTTTCAAAGAATACAATTCTCCATTTATAGCTACTTGTTCTTTCTCATTATGTTTACTTCTTGTCCCTAATTCCATCCATTCTTTTCTGTTTTTCGAAGAATCATCACCACATAGAAGCTACAACAAAATAGGATTATCTGTCAAACTATGAATAAGCTGTTTTTGAGTCAACACCAATTAGTTATAACTTACCTTGATGTGTTCTTTTATATTTTTCTTCAAGGAATCATACTTGGAAGCTCGATCCTTGTGCTGGATTTGAAATTGTTCAATTTCTATTACGAGTTTTTGTCGATCACTTAAGTAATAATTCTCTCTAATCATCTGCTCCAAGTTTTTAACTCTCCGAGTAAAGAATAAACTCCCTCCGTTACACAATAACTGGCAACCTTTGAACGTTTCAACTTTCATACCAAAAAATTTAAACCTTCATAACCAATGGAAAATATGAATTTTATAGATTACCGTTTGCTTAAGCACTTCTAGTGATTTGAATGGAGAAACATCTTTCTGTTGAATCTTTATGTCCCTCATAATTTTTTTCTCCTCACCCAAACTTTTGCTTCCATGCAGTCTCAAATAATTCAAAGACTACACAAATGATTTCAAAACATAAGAATGTCATTATATGATAAAAAATACTTTTAAATAAATAATTTTATTTTTCTTACATTTTTATCAAGCTTTTCTCCAAACCATCCTTCATTTTCAATTTTAACATTTCTGAAATTCAACTCATCAAGAGCCATATAAAAATCAAGATACTCTTTTTCTATCTGTTACAAAACAAATATTTCTTGTTAATTTATGAATGAAATTAAAAATACCAATTTCTACTTATTATATACCGTTTTCTTTGCGATCTTTTTAGTGATTTCCAAAATGTCCTGACTCATTGTCTTAATCACTTTCTCTTCCTTTTTTATTCGAGGGATTGAATCTGGAATTGTTGGCCAGAGCTTGACAAAGTAGAATTGATGAACAAGTTCTGAATTTTCATCAACTGCCTTATTCTTCATGATGTAAACTTTCCTGATTTTGACATGATAAAAGATCATAATTAACGAGAAAAATGAATTATAATAACAGTTTTGTTTGATTTAATGAAACCAAAGTATATCATTGAATTCAAATACTTACAATTTTTACTTGTTAGGCCATGATATGATCACTGATTTAATGAAACTAAATAGTAAGTAATTACTTGATTGTTGAAGACTTGCACCCCACGCCAAAAATGTCAACATATGAAATTTAAATTATTTTATTGTCTTATAACTTTTTAAATATCTATAGGAATTAAAAACTTCAAACAGTATAGCTTTTGACTTTATGAAATTTGCAAATGATTTACAATGCACTTAGTGGGATTTAAATAAAGAAAAACAAAGCGATCACAATTTTACTTGTATTTATTCCAGTATTTTTTTTAAAATGCAAAATTTCATAATAGAAAAAATCAATTTTTTTAATATAACGAAAAATCTTAACTTTAAAAGTTTTTCAACGTATATCAAGAATTTTTCAATTAAAATTCTTTCTGTAACAATAGATTGTGCGTCCTAGCAATTGCATTGACCACAATTGCAACTGCATCCGTAGCGGCGACTATAATTTTAAACCATAATATATGGATAAGATAGTTGATTCCATATTCTGGTACAATTGATGGACATAGGTCAAATTTTCTGACAACCTTAGCAACCATATATTGATGCAAACATTGAAATTGTTGACAAATTGTTTGAGAATAATATGTTAAGTGTGAGTTGGAGTATCATATTTGTTATAAATGTAAAGAGATGAACCTTTATAAATGTGAGAACTCAGACTCCTATCACCTTAAAATTTTGAATGAATATGTGATATCTCTCTCACTTGTGTTGCTCTTGACCAATGTTCAATGCTCTTTTAATGAAAAATTCCTCTAACAAATGGTATCATGAGCCTTTGGTTCGAGTAAAATGACCTACTTAGTTGTATCGAAATGTTTAAGAATAGATATTCCGTTGTGTAATACCCCAAATTTTGACCCTTAGATTAGTCGTTTCAGTTCGCATTCCATTTCATTTTTTCATTGCATTTGACTAACCACTAACAGGTTTGTGTAGTTAATTGATTTTGCAGGAAATAATCACGTGGCACGCTCTTTAACTTATGAAGGATAAAATGGTCATTTATTCACAGTCGGCTGTCAATTTATGAATCTGAGTTGTAGTCAGGGAATCTAAACCATTTGAATTTGAGCAGGTGGAATTAAATCAATTCCATTCATTTGGATGAAGTTAGTCGAACAAGTGTTGTCATTTGGGGTTGATCGAACAGATTGGATTTATTCTGATAAGGTTGTTCATTTAAATTGCCAGAAGGATTAATTGGAAGTTGTATCGGAGACGAGATTTAATCGGAGGAACTGAATTGTATTTTGAATTAATAAAAAGTAAAATTTTATTTTATTATTTGCGATTAGCATATCCAAATAATACAACTTTATTTATGTTTATTCCTTTTTTTTTTAATAATGTTTTTGTTTCATGTTTAATATAAAAAAAATGTAATAATGACATTTTTCATTTCATTTTAGTATCAAATAAAAATAATAAAATCATTTCATTTATAATATCCAATAAAATGAATAATTTTATTATATCAAAAATAAAATTTATTTCTTTACATATCAAAAATAAATAAATAAATTTACAATTTGTAAATTACATTTTCTTTTTTAAAAATCCGAAGTTTTTAAAACTTTTTCCGATTTCTTCGATTTTTTTTCGAGTCTCCGATTCTTCGAACCTGCCAAATCAACAGCAAACAGACAAATTTTAAATGGTTAGAAAAGGGACTCCGACACCCTCAGAAATATTCATCATCGGGTGTGTCGGGAGGGTAACGGACTGCTCCGTCGCCAATTTCCGACTCAATTCCGACTTCGGCTAAAACCGGCAGATCATGTTCTTATTTTCGAGGCATCCAAGAGAGAGAAAGAGAGATAAAAAAATTGCTTTTCCGAAAAAGTGATTGTCAAAAAGATGCTTCCAGAAAAAGTGATTATCAAAAAAGTGCTTTTTAAAAAAGCACTTATTCAAAAGTGATTTTCGCCAAACGCAGCCTTAACAACATTTCCAGAATTTCTGAAATTCCAACGGATTAAACAAGCCAATGGTAACAAAAACGCAAGCCAGCCACAATGTCACAAACAACCTTCCTCCAATCCAAGTCAAACAGAAACAAATCAGAAACCGTAAAATGCTTGAAAAAGCTTTAACAAATCGTCAAATTTGCAAGCAAAAACGCCACAAAACCGCAGCATTAGGGAACACTCAAGCCCAAAAGAAATCACAATATAAAACTTAACATTATCAGTTCATAAAAGGGGGGAGATTTTTCATCATTTAGGGAGTTCATCGGCAAACCTAGCGAAAAATCCTAGAGAGCGGCCGTCAAATTTCGGAGGTTCAGAAACCCTAAGGGCTTCATCATCACCCAATTTGAAAGAAGAAAAGGAAAGATCCTTCGTCGTCGTCATCACGGAAACTATCAAGTACCGGAACGGATTCAAAACCTCAAAGCCTCAGTCAAAGAACATCATCGGCGAAATCACGTCCTCGAAGCAACACGAAGCCACCGCGAACCACAAAGGAAGCACAGGCATCGGAGCTCGTCCGAGGCAATGCCGTCCTCGACGGACAAGGGGCATCGCGCACGCTCGTGCGTGGATAAGCCGAAAACGCTTCAGTTTCGTTCATCTTTGGCGGAAACACCATCAACGGACCACAACGTAACCCACGCGACTCTGTTTCTTCCCCCAAAACATCATTGTTGTTACCATTAAAAAGTAGCACCAAAACGTAAGGTGACGAGACGTTAACGTGTATTGCTCGCTTTTTCTTGCAGGTTTAGAAATGGAGGAGGCAACATGCAAAGGAAAAGAAAGCGAAAAAGCTCCGAGAGCCCAACAATGTCCGCCGTCGGCGCTCCGAAGAAGAAGAAGGTGCTTCGATGGCCGCTGCAAGGGAGGTCATCGCGAATCGGAAAGAAGAAGAAGGTTTCGAAGAAGATGAAGAGGGGAGTGCGCCGCAGGCGGAGAAAAGAAGAAGAAATTGAGGGCAAACAAACCCTAGCCACACAAGACTTTCTTTGTCTTTTTATATTTTATATTTTATTTTTTATATTTTATTTTACTTATCTATTTATATTTTTTATATAATAATGTTTAATTAGGTTATTAAATCAAAAAAAATTTAGGACAAATACTAACTTTTTAATTTTTATTAAAATAAATTAAGACTAAAACTTCATTTAGTCAACAAAAAATCACAAAAATTCTTTTCTTAATTTAACATTAAAACTAGATTTTCTTTCTTAATCAAACATTAAAAAAAAAATTTTTTCCTTAACTTAACATTAAAATTAACATAATTTTCTTAATTAAGCACTAAAACCAAAACATTTTTTAATTTAACATTAAAATTGAAACAATTTTCTTAATTAAAACAATTTTTTAATTTTATTAAAAATTATTAACACTTTTTAAATCAAAGAATCCTTGAAATAAATTTTTTTCTTTTTCTTTTAATTAATTAAAACAGTTTAAAACTAACTTTTTTTTATTATTTATTTAGAACATCCTTTAGAACCGTAACCGTTAAAAGTTTAGAAATTTAACTTTTCGGATTTCGTTTTATCTCACACTTTACTTTCCGCTTCATTTTTTCGATTGTAATTGGGCGAGGACATCGTCGCCATTATTATTCTTGCTTGTTTGTTTTGGGGATTGTAACTTATGCGAGTATATTGTCGCCATGCATGTTAGTTACATTTTCGCACTTTACCATATTTTCATACTGCCGTTTTATTTACTTTTGCATTACATTAGTTACCGTCAAACTTCCGAAGGATTAGGTCTAACATTTTAACCGCCGAGTCAATAGTCCTCTCCTTTGACCATTTCAAAACCCTAATTGCCTAGGCGTCCCGCCGTGGACTAAAATGCCATTTACCCTAGCATTAGGTCAAGGAGTCGCCGCACTCCGTTTTAGGGTTTCCCGCCGTGGAATACCTAATTAACCCTAATTTCAATTCAAACATATTCAACGTAGAAATAGGGGTCGCCGCACTCCACGTAAGCGTTTCCTTAAGAAATACTTACTCCCCATTGAAACCTTGACCACAGTCAAGAAGTTTCTAACCACCCTTTCGAGGGGAACTACGATTACTCTGATTCTATCCCCTACCCAGGATACGTAGGCACAAGATGCGAATCTTGCCGAGTAAACTTATGACTAACCCTTTAGGTCTTTCAGTCACTCTTGACGCTCAGTATATATCCACAAGCAAATAATTAAAGCAAATAGTAAATTTAAACAAAAGGTTCCTATAGAGTACTACAGAAGTTTAGGGTGCTAGTACCTTACCTAAGTTTAACCAACTCCTTACCTAGGTCTCTCCCCGCATTGTTTACGGTGCAAAAAAATTAGATTTTCCTTCTTTTGACCTTTTCCTTCGGATAAATCAAAGTCGGTTGTGAATCAAAGATTTGTGATTAAAATTAATTAATAATTTGATATCCTATTCTCACCGCAACACGTTGAAATCGAAAATCCCAAGAAGAGGTGTCAATGACGATACAAGTGTATGTGGACAAAAGAGTTTCCACTTGAGGGGGAGTATTCTGAACTCACACTTGAGAGGGGTGTTGAGAATAATGTGTCAAGTGTGACTTGGAGTTCCACATTAGTTATAAATATGGAAAGTTGAACATTTATAAGTGGGAGAACCTACACACCTATCATCTTAAAGTTTTGGGTGACTATGTGATATCTATCTCATCAAGTGATGCTCTTGATCTAATGTTCAATACTTTTTAGTAAAAAACACCCCTAACAGAAACAACATTAACCTCTTTTAATAAAGAAAGTAATAGATGTATGCCAAAATTGAGCATTATGCATAAGATGTGCCTCAATTGTTTGAGAGGAAGAAATATTTTTAATAAAAAATATTGGACTCAATAATT